GAAAATGGAAACTGAGTGTATATAGAAGAGGCATCATGGCAGCGCACATGGCAGTTCGTACTTTTTTAGTTCATAGTAGAGAGACCAAGAACCCCTAATCGGAGAGCCCTCGAATTTGCACTTTGGCCTAGACAAAGGAAGTGCCTCAATCGTGCTACGAGTTGGCTGAAGCCGTTTGCAGAGAAGTCCCCTGGCAGGAGCTTCCATCTGGTGGGATTCTACAGTACTTAGCTAGCAATTAGTCAGCTGTTTACGGGCTTCATGTTGTTTGACTAGATGGTGACCCATATAACTCTAAGCCCTTCGCAAGAACATGGTCATTCACTTGCTTTTTTTCAAGTCGTCATTCCGAAAGCGTCATAGCCACTTCTTGAACTCTGCTCCCTTCCAATCAGATTTTCCTTTGAAATGTAGTATAACCCCAAAGAACTAGTAAGTACATCTTATTACATACAGGTTGAAGGAGACTTCAGTCTTCTGGTTTCGTGTCGCAAGTGCCAGTGAGCGAGCCGTCCGCAGCGAACTACCTCTTCCGGGCAATTACAGAAACTCCATCCCGGTGGTGACTCCTAGGGTCTAGGGTAGAGGGTGGCTCGTCCCCCATTTGCTAAGTTTCAGGTTCTGAATCAGAATCTATTGTGACGTTGGAGCTTTTGAAAAATTCTCGCTTCCCCCAATTCCAAAAAAGCGCCTAATCATAGATAGTTCTCCAGGAGAAAGGGATCCCGTAGCCATGAATTAGTGGGGGTGCGAGGTCATTGGGGGGGGGGGGGTTATAATAAGGAATCCAAAGCAATTGGGGACCCTCTTGATTTCCATTTTTGTCGTTTTAATGTTTTTAAGGAACGAATCCATGTAATATATATATATATATATTCAATGTTAATTGAGCTTAGGGCGACTTCACATCGCTTTTAATTAGATTCGGTTCGATTGCAATTAATGTCAATTGGCTTTACATAGATTTCAAGTAGATTTCGCTTGATTTTAATTAGCTTTGGATTAGATTGCAATGGGTTTTACTCAGGGTGTGAATAGGTTAGAATCGATGTCAGTGCGGTTTCCAATTGAGTTTAATTTGAAGTTGTAGTTGATGTCAATTGGATTTGTTAGATCTCATTTGATTTTAATCAGTGTCGCTCATTTTGATTGATTTTGTTGCGACATTTAAAGCCGGTTTTAGATACATGTCAATTGAGTTTAATTAGAGGTTGAGAAGATTTTATTACGATCGTAAATCGTTTTTACATAGAGCACAATAGGTTTTACCTAGATTGTAATTGGATGCCCCATAATTCCTTGCACAACCCCCCCCTGCCAACCTTGCACAAGCGCCACCTGCGTATACAGTCCCCTCGTAATAGTAGTCTCCCCATCCCGATTGCAGAATCTTCCCGCCTTTCCATCATGATGACACTAAGTTGGGAACATGTGTTGTTAGAGGGTGGGGGGGTTGTCATCAAGGGGAGATGATTAAATCAGTAGAGCAAACCCAGTAGTAGGAGCGGAGCTAAGGTTTCGTTCGCAACTTGAGCAGGAGGAGTTACGACGATCGTAGTTATAATCATGGGCTAGCCGCATTCGCGGCTTCCCCCAGCATGGTCATGGTCGGGTTGCATGCGCTGTAATAAGTAGCGATGTAGCCCAACATGGGCCCCATTTGACATGCTGAAGGGTTTTTGAGGTGTATCTAAGTTTCGCTATGGCTTAATCGCAGGACTTGCTGTGGGCTTTGGGAATATTTCTCCCTAGATTCCCCAGATCATCCCTCTTCAGCTACGTCTGTTCCCTGTAAAATCCTTCCGAGTTCTTTCTATGCTGGATTTTTTGGCATAGATCCATGACTCAGAGCATCTGCAAACAAAGCCCTTGCACATTTTGTCACGCCTGGGAGCTCAGGGTTTAGGGTGCATAATCCGAGCAGTCCTTGTATCCCGAACATGGTCAATATGGTCGCTCTCACTATGCGTATTTCCGAAATGGGGTCCCCAATTCACCCTTTAACACTAGAATCAATTTACAGGAACCTCTTAAAGTGCATCCCTAATGACCGAGAGGCCTCGTGTATGTCAGAATCTGAGGTTGTGGCTCGAAACACGAGAAGCAGTGACCAGCGCTGCTTGATGCTGTTCTGCATGAGTGCGAGCTGCTGGCGAAGCTCTCCCCTTAAAGTGCTTGTATGATAATGCTGTGCCTATATGAGCTATAGTCTAAACTCCTTAAAGGGGTTCATATAGGGGGTTATGTAGGGGACTACTATAGGGGTTCTTAAGGAGGATACTAGGAGTTTAGACAAGGGCTTATATTTGTATCTTGGTGTTGTGTTAATCTTTCTGTATATGTGCATAGTTGGTTGGGCGTTTTCCTGCAGAATCACGATTCAAAAGAAATACTCCACGTGCTTGGAAGGGGAACGCTTCGTAGATTTGCCGCAGGTTAGGAATCGGCTATCCTGAGTGCCATGTGGATTAGTGTGGGGGTTGCCTATGCAGGTTCTTGCTAGGTTCATTTGCCGCTTTCCGAACCTAACCAGAGGCAAGCAGAATGTGTACAGTTACATCTGAAGGGCATCGAGGCTCTTCAGCTGCTATCACTCTTGAAGGTGGCTTTCTGTTTCTTCTTCGCAACTAGTCCCAGATAGGCACGCCTGGTATTTCCTTATGAGCCCTAGATTGCCCTGAGGCCCAAAAGGTGCCCCCCCAAGCTGCGGTTCAAGGTGGCAATGCGGCGTTCTGCATGAGACAAAACGAAGTCCAGCTCTCTTTTTTCAGTCCTTGGAGGTCTTACTTTACTGGCAACCCTTGAGGTATCCGCCGTCCGCAAAATGAGGCAGTTTCCAACATAGTCCGAAGAGGAGACCTGACTCCTGATGCTGGGGTGTTTTGAAGTGATAAGGGGCTGAGCGGATCACCAAATTTCACCGTAGTTGAAGCATCTTAGCAAGTGAAGCTGTAGGGGCCTGTTCTGCTGCACAAGTTTTTTGCAGATGCATGAACAGCACAGTTCTTGTGACTGCCGCAACCAATGTTTGGTGACACTTCCAGGTTGATCAACGGCAGTAGTCATGCGCCAAAAAGATCCAGGCGCCCATGTGCCCCTCCAAGACACTGGGCTTACCTTACCTGACACGAGAACATCGACAACAACTGGTGCCATCCATTTACCAGGCTGAGGCAAAATCCACCACTTCTCTTCATGGGTCTAAGAATAACTAGACTCTTCAAATAAATGTAGGCAACTTAGGGTTTAGCGTTTATAGTCCCCCTTAATATGGCTGTGGGTATTTCTTAATAAGACCGCCATATACCCCATAGTCTATCTACTTGAGGGGACTATAAGCCCTAAACCCTAAATAGTAGTTTCCATTTTCTTTTCCACTATCCCAACATAACCCCTATAACCCCTATATCTACTTAAGGGGGACTATAGGATTTAGAGAGGCAAGCTCAGCTTTTGTAGGCAAACCAGCTTAACAGCAGCCCAACACTTTTGGCATCCGCGTGATGGAGGGAGCTGCAGATGCCGGTCGATGACTCAGATTGCTTTTGGGTTTAGGGTTTGGGGCTTGGGGTTTAGGGTTTAAAATTACTTGGTGCTGTTGGTTGTTGGTCATGTTAGGCCATGCTTTCGGCACACGGCGCTTCACACATACGTATGCAAATAGATTTATACACGGCAGTTTCCCAAAATAGGGGAACTCCAACATGGACCCCGAAAATCTATCATCCCTTTTACAGGGACCCTCAAAATGGTACCCCTAATCTTGGGAAACCCTACATATACAGACGCGCATGCGCACATGTGTCTTTCGAAGCTAGGTTCTAAGTCATAATCCTAAACTCAGAACCCCTCAACCCTAAGGCCTAAGCCAGGAAGACCTCACCCAGGTTGCTGGATGGGCGCAGTCATATTCTGCCTTCAGAGTTAATCCCAGGCATACCTGATTGAAGCAAATTTCCCCCAACTTCTTTCAAAACTTACTCGGTGGTTTCCCAAAATAGTGGGACCCCAATATAGACCCCAAAATATTATAGTCCTTATTATTGGGACCCCCCAAAATTGTACCCCTAATTTTGGGAAACCGCCACTTGTAGAGATTTCAAACCATGAGCCCCAAACCCTAACTCCCTTTGAAGATAGGTCAATCCCCCCTATAGTAATGGCTCCTGAATAGGTTTCAGGATTTAGGGTTTAGGGTTTCAGGATTTAGGGTTAGGGGCTAGGATTTAGGATTTAGGGTTTAGGGCCTGAATATACCCACAATAGTCCCTTGTGGTACCCATTATGGGGTGGGGGATTGAAGGTCCTTCTTGTGAGGATCCCCAAGGTGTTGGGAATCTCAGGTGTATGAAAGAAGGACACCCCACCTTTTAAAAAAGTGGTATAAGAGGATTATAACAGGACCCTTTTCATCCCTTATAGTCA